TAGGTCATGGTTTAACTGAAACACCAGCAAGGTTTCATATTTTTTGAATAATGAACTACTAGACGTTCTCCAGTCAATTCTAATTAACATATATGCGTTAGTCATGGTGATTTCAGTGGAATGATAAGGTGGTTAGCAGTTGGGCGTTGGAAATCAGATGACAGAAAGCTGGAATAGTAAATCGGAAACTGCTGTTTCGAATTCTACTGCGACCCAGATTTTCATTTCCTCTTTAATTATCAGCCATCACATCACTCACAGTTTGTTAATCCTCAAGACCAATTCATATAGTCACACCATCAGTAATAATAACTAATAACAGCAGCAAGATCACTGTTATTATTATCGTTTCCTTTAATTCCTAGAGGAACATAGGGCTTCAGCCACAAGTCTTCATTGCGTTCGGTTCTCTGCCAACGTTTTAAGCTGGCTACACGTCTGCCCACATGCTTTCATCTTATCTTCACATCACCTCCTCCATGTCACCCTCATACTGACGACCAACTTGCCGCTTCCCGTTCGGGTTCCACTCGAGAGATGACCTGTAGTGTGATGTCACTTGATGGTTTGTTTTCTCAGAATATGGCCAATCCAATCCACCTCCATTTATTCCTGCTTATTTGTTGCACATTCGGTTCCTGATTGGCTGGCTCCCAGAGATCCCTATTGCTGATCTCTTCTGGCCGGCCATCTCATCTTGAGTAGTATTGAGCAAAGACAGCTGTTGATGAAAGTCTGTAGTTTGTTCGATGTGGCGCGGCGCCAAGTCTCTGATCCATTTAGTAAATAGAATTGAGTTCACATTGGAGTTGAAAATCCGGATCTTATTTTTCATGCTGAGAGTGCTTTTGATCTCCACACAGACTTGAGAGTAATGAAAGCTTGCCTTGCTTTCCCAATCCTCGACTTTGATATCCTCGTCAGCTGTCGCCTGTAGTTGAAACGATGCTTCCCGTAGGTAGGTAGTTGAAGGAGGTTGCTTCTTTCAGATTTGTTCCGTTTATGCTGATTGTTGTCTGTTGTTGTTGCTGTTTGTGTTAGCCAGGAATCTTCATCACCCCTGTTTTCCTTATGTTTACCTGAAGTCCTATCTTCTTTGGATGCTTATTCTGTCAACATGTTGCTTTTCAGTTGCATATCTTCCAGTTTATAAGAAATCAGACAGATCATTGACGAAGTCCAGATCCTCCAAGTTTTTTGTGTGGGTCCATTTTATGCTTGTTTCCTCACTGTCCGCTGTCTATCGCATTATCCAATCTACCACAATCAGGAAAATCATTAGAGATAGTACTCAGCCAGCCAGCCTTGTCTTACTCCCGTCTTCACTTCGAGGAATTCCGTAAGTTTCCCGTTATGGATTACTTGGTATGCAGCATAGTCATGCAACTGTTGGGTGAGGTATATAATTGTTGGCGGCATCCAGTAGCAACGAAGTAGTTGCCGAATCACCTCTCGATCGACGTTGTTAAAAGCCTTTACATAGTGAATGAAGTAATATTATTGTATAACACTGTGTGATTTATCAGAATAAATTCTTATCTATAATGGAGTTATACTCTACCACAGTGCACAAGTTTTATAGTTATATCAAAGGATGAAACAGCTGTCCAGTACTCCCAGGTTTTCCAATGGTTCTCTGAATGATGTCAGCTCACGATAAAATCCTCCAACCAAATAAGGCTTCAGTCATAAATCCCTCCCTCCACCTTCTTATTTTAGATTTTAAGCCTGCCATCTTATCCCATCCTACTGTATAGTTGTGTACAACTGCATGTTATGCTACACCTGAACAGTTTTCTAGATTTTTTAAAATCTTTTTAGGGTCAAGTAATCCGAATTTCACTAGCCATCCCTATCCTACTACTTTGGTCTATGTATCTGACTCCACAGTCATTGTAAGGTATTAGATAAACGAGATTGTTATTTTGTTTAATGTGCTCCACAGGATCCTTTAACCGATATAATTCGCTTCTAAATCAATTTGTGGGCGATTGGATGCGACTTCTATTATTCCTGCTTTGTTAAGAATTCTACATAAAGTTTCAGAGGTTCTGTCTTTGTATGGAGGCACTACTTATATATACTATATATATATATATATATATATATAACAGTCAATGATGGGTTGATAATTGAAGCTGTATCTATTGAATCAGCTGTTTTTGAAATGCCATTCAGTAAATAATACCCTTTCACTGTGTGACATATATCCAAAAAACAAAATAATATGGAACTAGATGCTACTATAGTGCCTAAGTAGTAGTTTGCCCCGTTATGAATCACCTCAGAGAGTCGGATCAGTTCATACCAGTCAAGTGCTGGCTGGTTAACTCTTTGGGCTGACAGTACTGATAGTACTTAGAACTACTGGTTGATGTGAGTGTTAGCCACCTACTCCTACGATTCAATCAATAGGATATAGCATTATAAAACTGGTGCTTACTTTCTCGGTGAGGAATTACCGAAAAGAAAATACGTATTTACTTCAAATGCATATGTATACAGTCTAATTATCATAACGGAGAAAAAATGATTATTGTGACTAAAAAGTCTTATTTTACGCAAATTAATTAATACATTCAGTAAAATTCAATGAACTTTCTAGAAAGATCAAGCCAGACACATTTAAGTATTCAGAGTAGTTTCTGTTTTTCTTTTTTGCATAGAAATCAATAAGTTGTCTAGGTGAAATTATTTTTCTGGTTTCTTTACGAAGTCAGTAAAAGGTTTTTTATTGTGTAGGCGCATCGATACGCGTTGCAGAAGAAGTGACTCTCATGGTTTAGTGCATAACGTTTTAGTGTCTGAAACTATGAGTGCTGAGTACTGGATTCCTAGTGGGAATACTATCACTGGTTTTGGATCCATGTGCATCCAGATAATAAGTCCAAAATAGGATGAAACCTGACTCAGAGATTCACCATCAACCAAACAATAAAGGTTAAGCAACCGATTTTGTCGTCAGTCTGATAATTTATTTGTTTTTATTGTTCCCTTGGGTTCCTAGTGGAACATAGGGCTTCTACTGCACGTCTTCACTTGTTTCTGTCTTCTGCTATACTTTTCACCTGCATCCATGTTAGTCCATACTGTTTCAACTCCTCTTCATACGATCTCCTCCATGTCACCCTTGGACGCCCCACTCGCCGCTTCCCTTTCGTGTTCCACTCGAGCAATGGCTTGACGCGCGATGTCACTCAGCGGCCTCCTCAGCGAGTGTCTAATCAATCTCCACTTTCTCCTGCATATTTGTTGAGCGATTGGTTCTTGTTTTGTTTGTTCTCATAGTTTCTTGTTGGTGATTCATTCCGGCCATCTGATCTTCAGTATGGAACGAAGACAGCTGTTGATAAAGGTCTGCAACAGGCTGTTGGAAATATTCTTTTTAACCCACCAAGTTTCTGATCCGTTTGATAATAATAATAGTAATAGGTTAGAGAAGACATTTTCTAGGGATAAATGAAACGGTGAATTAATGATAACAGTAGAATTCGGCACCGTGTTTGCTTTTCGAGTAGAATACAGGGTTTAAAGCTTTTACCAAGTTTCTGTAACCGTTGCCGACAGGCTCGATAACATTTTGAAGTGCTTCGGAGGGGAAGTGAAACCGGACCCAGCATGTGACTACCAAGTATGCTACCATTGGACCATCCATTCATCTCATCCTACATTGGATGAGTTTATCTAAGAATGTACATGCGCTGATTTAGTGCTAATCACTGGATAATGTGGTGACCGCCATTTATTGCTGATGACTACACCAGCGTATTCATAAGAAATAATAACTTGCTTTACATAGGTTTGCTCCTACCTGGGTTTTAATGCAGTCCTCCATACATATATCTGAGACTGGTTTTATATCATTTAATCTCAATTAGGTAATCGGAACATAGAATTTTAAAATAGAAGGCTTTCAGTGAGGAGTTACTCTTTTCGGCGGCTTTCTACAATACATGGGATTGTGATTAGATGTAGACTAATAAATCTATGGCCACGTTTAATAATCTAGAAAAATTCCTCGGTCATTGCAAGGCATGTACATACATGCAATTATACAATACAGTAGAGGGGGCGGGGGAAACAGGGTCAAAGTATTCAAAAGTTATATAATTATTTGAAGGGTTAAAAGTCGATTACAGAATATTCGCTGGTTAATTCATCACCAAAAGCATGAATTTCCAGTGGAGCATAGGGCTTCATGCCTGATTCCTTGAATTTTCAGTAGCAGTATTTTTATGTGAACGTTAGGATTGCTATTCTCATGCCAAAAACTTTCCTCTTTTAACGGGATCACTAACAGTTAGACGTGGCCTGGGAGTCCATAGGTAGGGAATCAAATCCTGAGACCACATGCGTCATTGGCAAGCATTCTATCATTGAACTACGGGCGCAGAGTATTTCTGATCGATTATGTTTATTTTGCCTAATTAATTCAATCGAATCTTGAAACCAAGAAACTTTGTCACAATCTGACTTTAAATACATTTTGATTTAAGGAAAATGAACACATTTTTGATCTTGAATTGTTAGCTAGCAGAGAACTGATTGATTTCGCTTTTGATCATGGAGAACCGCTGAAAATAGCCAGGGACTACTGGAAGGCTGTTTCTCCCTGGTGCTGGGGATTGTTGAACCGTACTCAGTTTGCCGGGAAACGAATACAGGACCTTAAAGTTACAAGGCTAACTCTTACACCATTGGACAATTAGTAAAAGTTAGAATTGATAGCCTATTGAACTGCACCTCAGTGACTGAATGCTGTACGAGTTTGCCTTGTAACCTGAAGGTCATCGGGTCGATCCCTTGGGGTGGGGAACTCATGTGTGGGTACTATTGTGAAGAATCCTAGACAGGGAAGAAACATCTGTCCACAACTCTTCGAGTTATTTTCAACGATTCTCCAACTGAAGTCATTTGGTGATCAAAATTGAAAGGTTTCTTTTGATTTTTAAAGAGATATTAATTTCCCTTTTTTTTCAATCATTTTTTCTCGTTTGTAGATACTACTGCTTACATCAGAAGATAGTAATACATAGAATTTTTATTGCTGAAATATACAACTACGCGCTGATAAACACACACACACATATCAAGGTGATAACAGATATAACACACACACACACACTTTTCCCAGGTTTTTCTAATAGCCTATTTAAATACCCATCTAGAATGTGTAGAGTAATTTACCTGTATTTGATACCAGCTCTTTTGTAATTCACCTTTTTATCCTTATTACGTCTACCATCCATTTATCACTGCTGATTTTATGTATACAGAAAGACATGGTAGCCTTTTGTTATCAGTATTATTGTTTTTAATGGATGTATCTGTGCCTTATTTGTGAGGTCGACAGTTGATTCTCATACAACACACATACACTCACACGCTTACATCATATATAAATATAGGCGCCCTCGAATCTTTGCATATCAATGTATTCAGCATATCATACTGTTGTTCATTCTGATTGCTTTATCCCTTTTTCGACCTTTCTCGAATGATTCACTTATTTTACTTACAATTATATAATAATGTCTTATGAATAAATATTAGTTTATGTTAAATGTTTTAAAGTTCCAGTAGATTGGGTTAGGTAGACTACAGCAGCCATAGCCAACGACCCTAACAGGGATCTTGAACAATCAATCAGAATTCTTTAACCTATTCCAAAACCGTTCGAAGTGTTCGTGTAATGGGGTTCAAGAAATCGGAGGAATGATTACATATGTGGTAAATGCAACCCAAAGATGATAATGAGTTATATCATGATCATTATTTCGTATGGATTGTGCTTCCTAGTATGAAAAGTTGCTGAATTATTGGTATTAATGTGGCGACACTTCTATTTGACATCGCCTCCACAAAACCTTTACTTGGTGAAGTATCACATAAATTTCAAGAACCCACACTTGATTCGCATTTCTCATTTTGAGCATAGTTTCATCTATTTGGGGGATAATTATGACTTCTCCCAAAAAACCAGTAGTCGTCTCCAACTTTCATGATGCTACCTCTGTACAGTGATGATACACTTGCACTCTGGAGACTAGGATGTTTTCCATCTGTGTTGCCGCTGATCTTAATGGCCTTTACAAAACGCAAAAGTACCTAAGACGTAAAATATCCGAGAAATACTGTGCCTACTCGCCCTCACAAACTGATTTCCTCCTCTAACAGGCACTGAATTTATGGCAATAATTGTCTGCTGCATGGATATACTGTCTTAGTGACATGCTTTCCCCACGTACAAATGTTTTAGAAAACTCTATATTATTCATACAATAATCAAATATTCGCCCTTCCTTGAACTCTTTCAGCAAAGCGGGGACAGCGGGAATGATTTTATTTGCAGTGACCACTTTTAATGCCTCTCCAGTCTGACTAGTTACTCAAGGTTAGGTTTTGTAGACATATTACTGTGCCAGCTTCCATAGTTTAACTTTGACCAGCAGTGATGAGGTTGAACATATTCTGTGGAGACTGTTCAGTGACATAACACGAAGAGGAAGTAACAAGTTGGGTTTGAGTCCAAGTGTGATATAGAGAAGATCATCTGAAGAGGAACTAGAGGCATATGGGCACATGTGAATTTGCTTGAAAGTGATGGCAGAGGACTAGGAGGTATGGGGATGTGCTGCTGAGACCTTATGTTCCGCCTAGAACTGAAGTAATAAATAATAATTGTTTTTATACCCTATTTCGTTTGTTAATACTAACTGTGATGCACTGCATATCTCTTTGAAGTATACTGTGAATAGTAAGTTAAGTGATTTGATATGAAATTCAGGTGTTGGTTTGTGGGGATTTGATTGTTTTCAGGATTTCATCATGAACTGACATCGGTTAGAGAACCCTTGGAAAACCTGGGAGTATTCTACGGCTGTTTCGTCCGAGTTTGGGACTCTGATGCAGTATGCACCTACCTACAGGGTTCAAATACGGGATCTTCCGCTTACAAAGCAAGCTCTTAGACCATTAAGTCACTGGGACCCTATCCAATGGTCAGCCCATGAATTCCAACTTCGGCTAATTCACCATGTGGCACAACCACTAGCGAATGTCATGGATGAGTATTTTTCCTCACACCTGACCTGCTGTACCCCATTCGTCACGAATTCCCACTAGAACCCAGGTAACTACCTACCTTGTTAGTGCCTGTCACTAGTGAGTGTAAGATTGATATTCAGGTGTTGGTTTCAGGATTTCATCATGAACTGAAATCGGTTAGAGGTAGGTGGGGTACAGCAGGTCAGGTGTGAGGAAAAATACTCGTCGATGGCATTCGCTAGTGGTCGCGCCATATCATGAATTGGCAGAAGTTGAAATTCATGGACTGGCCATTGGATAGAGTCCCAGTGGCTTAATGGTCTACGAGCTAGCTCGTCTTGTAACTAGAAGGTCCTGGGTTTGAACCTCAGTGGGCGCGTACTGATGAGGAGTCCTAAACTAGGGCGAAGAAGCCGTCCAGTACTCTCAGATTTGATATGGCTTTGTGAAATGCATATATTGTAGGATTTTGAACTCAAGGATTTTCATTTACATTCTAAGTTCAGGGGAAACCAACGCTTAACAGAATCTCCAAATCTGTATTATGCGATACCGCAGCTAGGAGATTTACAAATTTAAATAAACATGTACTTACATTTTTGACGTATTGATTATGCCTTATGTTACCAGTCGTTAGCACTATAAAATATGCCATTCGTATAATTAACTACACATTTGGAGTTTATTTAAGAAGAATCATCGTATTACCTGGTTAGCTGTGGATTTTAAGACTCATGTTCCATAGCATTTGGGACTAGTCAGGTGGATTTACGTCAATTCCCGATGAGATTCAAACCCAGCATCTACTGTGCTCCAGTGAGAATACCATCATTCATTGGATAGGATGCAAATACATCCAGATGACGAGCTGCAAATGGGAAGAAATGAGCATCCCGAATTTCACTGCCAGTCACCATAAACCAAGTAACATTGACAGTGTTGACAAAGTATCCCTACTGACAGCAGGCATGTCAACAGATATTGAGCATTTTGGTCCAGTATAATCAATCAACGCGTAATCATAAGTAACGTCAACTGAAAGATACATGTTAACTCCTGGTATGCACCACGTATAAAGTTCTAACAGTGTTCACTGTACTGTTTCACCATGATAGTATAAACAGCCAGTCATCTTTTGCGTTCTCCATTTTAAATTTTGTTTAGAACGAAAGACGAGGGGGATATATTTTCAGGTTTTGGTTTGCGGGAATTTGAATGATTTCAAGTTTAGTCACGAATTAACTCTACTTTGAAAACCATTGCAAACTAGAGAACACTGAGCATCCCTTTCGATATGGCTCGAGACTCTTCAACAAGATGAACCCATGACTTAACTGGGGGGGATCGAATCCAGGAGCTTCAGATTAAGTGGTGAACTCGTATTTCGTTTAGCCAATACAAAGGAGTATAATGGCCTATAAACTTTAACTTTATGTCAATTCGCCAACGTCGTAGGTGAGCATTTGTCCTCCCAGCCATGTCGGTGGTCCCTGTTAGTCGTGACTTCCCACTAGAAATTTATGCAACGTTAAATTGTGGTCAGTCGCTAGTGAGCACAAAATAATTTTCAAATTTTGGTTGTCAGGGATTTGATTTATTCCAAAACTGAAAGATTGAATACATAGTCATTGAATTTCGTGATTTGCCATCTCTCCATTAACTAGACGAAAATGAAAAGTTTCTATAGGTAGATGAAGGAGGATTTAATGACTTATCATCCTACTGATATGATCGGTAATACTGAAAGCAGTATCAAACTAATGCAGTAACAAAAACCACTTTATTGGCTTATCATGACGTCAAACACAACAAGGAGGATACTAGAGACAATCAAAATGAAGAAAGGAGAACACAGACGATGAATAAGGGAGAATATACTGTCTATATAAAAGGCCCTATGAGTACATGATCGTTGTAAAGTATAGTAATATTAATGTTAAAAACAGAAATGAGTGATAAATAACACCTCCAGTGTAAGGCTAATGTAATTCTGTGCAGAGATAATTCTATCCAGCAGATATATCACATCTGCATGTTCATTAAACACCCTTTTTCCAGGTATATTACTGACCTATAAACTAGGAAAGCTTGGGAGTTTGTGAACGGAAAATCGAACCGGGACCATCAACATTGCCGGCCGACATTCTATGATTTAACCACAGATATTAATGAATGGTTGTGTACAATCACAACCTCGCCTGGTTAACTAGTTGCTAGTTTTCTAGTCGGTCCCAAGCCCGGGTAAAGAGGAAGGGTTTGATCTTTGTTTGTTCTTGGCACCAGTCAATGAAATCTACAACAGTTAGTCTAAGCCACGTAGGAAGGTGTAGGCTTCCTGGTTGGGGTCCTCGGGACGGTAAAAACCAATGGTTGGAAACAATTGGTGACATGGCTCAAAATCGTTCTCAGTGGCGCAGATGAATCCACTCCTTGTGACTTATGATTTCCGATGAAACTGTTCGTTCTTCGTTATTACTATTCCTTTGCCTCACACCTCTGTTTACTGTCTATATTATGCATTTCTCCTACTTTCTTCTCTTGCTTTGTGTGGTACATGGTGTGTGGCGACTTGAACTGCCGCATATATGTGCAAAGTTCTATGTCGAAAACAGACAGACAGGCAGACAGAAGGGTTTGATATGGGGCTAGCGTCTCAAGGGAATAATAATATTATACAGTCATTTGAAAAAATTCCAAGTCAACACAAAATATCTTTTAGATACTTCCTTGTTTTAATGGTCCTGGAGCTATTGTCACTTGTAGCCGAAAATGGGACAGATAATCAGTTGGATTCTCTCTTTGGTGTGTGTCTGTGTGAAATGGGACCAAATTAAAAACGTTTCTGTTCGGTAGGTGTTATCACGTCCTTAATGGGTTGAAGTTGATTGGAAAATATTCAAAATGGTTAGAACAAAACTTAATAACCCAATATTGATTGGTAGATACTTGTTAGAAAGGAACAGAGAATCGCATGGGGATTTGTTACTAAGGAAAAAAATCCTTAAAGCTTGGGGATGTCTGACCTCCTCTTCAAAGATATATATATCTGAATCACTCATTACTGGACTACAAAGAGTTTGCTGCAAAGCTAATCCCTTTATAGAACATTCCATGGAATACAGAATGAGGTACGCAGTTGTTATAATACAATTCAAGTAGGTACGTGTTAAACAGACATGCCCGACTCATTTTCAAATTGCCTTACTCGCTGCATGTTTACAGTCCCATGCTTAGCTAAGCCATACTATTCAGATGATTGTACACTGAATATCTAAGATTTCTTAAAGCCAGTAGAAATGAAGCGGCGATGGCTGAATTGATAGAATATTTGACAGCCACACGAGAGGCCCAGGTTCCAAGTACGATCACCAACCAGTGAAAATCACTGAACAGTACTGGACAGTTTAGAAGCTTTCAAAAAAATGCACCCAAAATCTTCTGGTTAAGTGGGGGAGCTAGCTGACCATTTACACACTAGA